CCCAGCATGTGACCATAGGAGTTTCACTCAAGCTAGGAAAACAAACAAAGTCCGGGACTAACTGGCTCCGGAGTATCCTAATGGGATATCTTATGTAATGCCCCATCGTTGGGCAGGTGTGGTATTGAGCCATTTTGAAAAAGCTTTTGAAGTTTTAAATATTAATGAGCTCCAAGCAGCAGGTTTGCCAATTGAAAAACCAATAAAAGAAAACAATACTCCATTTTCTGTGTAAACAATTAAATTTCACTTCGACTGGGGAAATTTCAGTTCAGTTTTAAAAAATTGTTTAAAAAAGAACCGAAGCAAATCTACTTTAAATATAAAAACATTTTCTTATCTTTCATTTTTTATTATTAAAATTAAATCTTTCCAACTTGATTAAAACATTTTTTGTACATTTTACAATAAAGTTTGTACGATATGTTCAACATTTTATTCGGTCTACTATGCAGTTATTTGGGGGAACGTATCAATTAATAATGATATTTGTGGACGTACTATCAGCATAATTTTTTGGCAAGGAATTGCAGTTTAGTTTCCTAATGATGTTGGTCACTAAAAGTGTCGCTTGACCAACGGCAGCTGATGATGTGCTTCTGGGAAAAATAATGATGCGATTGACTGCAACAGCAGCCAAAATATATCTGAGGGCTGGGAATTAACACATTGGCCTCCTCCAGGCGCGTGCCTGTTCCACCTTCCCGTGCATTTATCAAAAGTCCGACGGACCGACCCACCGGCGATATAGCCTCGTATATAGATGGCTATCTAGCTGGGGTTACCCTCATGGAAGTGCCAAAAATGTGCAACGCCGTCCGCGGAAGAAAGGCAGGAAGGATGAACTGAGTCGGGGAGGGATTCGAACCTCGAAGGATACAAAGGACAAGGGACATGCAGCTACTCAGGCACAATGGGATGGTCCGATTCACTGTCAAGGTAATTTATTAATTCGACAATAAAAACGTACGAATTCTTGGGCTGAGCCCTGGATTCGCATTCTGGGTTGGGTTTGGGTCGGATTCGAGATGGGGTGTGTTGTGGTCGGACACTCGCATGTGGGCCTTACAACTCAATTAAAGTTGCCTGGGTCCTGGACGCTGAGCCTGCTGCACTTCTGCCGAGAACCGGGGTGAGCGGACTATTTTATGGCCATGTGTTGGATTCGGGTTAATCTGGATTGAGGCTTTAGCGAAACCCAATTGGCCGTAAGTGAGAAAGCTAAGTGGCCGATTAAATTCAATATAATTGTAGAACTTTCTTAAAAAATGATTCTTAGCGGCATTAATAATATGATTTTTTATTAAAATTAAATCAATACCAAGCTTTTTAACATAATTTAGAATTTTAAAAAATCGCATTCGAGAAAGTAAAATCTGGAACAACTTTTCAGTGTATGTATTTTTCTGTGGTTTCGATTTTTTAATAGTTTGTCCAAAAAAACGTACATACTATTTACTAGACCGTAAAATGATTTAAATAATGCGGAAATAATGCTTACTTAGAAGTTGTATTACAAAAACAAGGGAGAACGCTATAGTCGAGTACCTCGACTATCAGATACCCGTTACTCAGCTAAATGGAGATATGCAAGCAGCAAAGCGAGATTAAAATGCGCCACCTACCGGCGGTATACAGATTTTTTTTGGATCAATCGATAGTTATTGACGAGACCAATACATTTCAGTTAAAATTTTTTATCTAGCATGAAAATTGTGGGCGTCACAGGTTTTCGCGGTTTGTGGGCGTTAAAGTGGGCGTGGCAAACTTTTTTTCGGTCAATCGATAGGTATTGATGAGAACATTACATTTCAGTTAAAATTTTCTATCTAGCATCAAAACTGTAGGAGCCACAGTTTAGGGCGGTTTGTGGGCGTTAGAGTGGGCGTGGCAGTCTACTGAAACAAACTTGCGCTGCGTAAGAAGCTCAGGAATCTGCACGCCAAATCTCAATAGCCTAGCTCTCATAGTTTCCGAGATCTCAGCGTTCATCCGGACAGACGGACAGACGGACATGGCTAGATCGACTCGGCTAGTGATCCTGATCAAGAATATATATACTTTATGGGGTCGGAAACGGTTCCTTCTGCCTGTTACATACTTTCCGACGAATCTAGTATACCCTTTTACTCTACGAGTAACGGGTATAATAATAATATTTCTTTATTTTTTGGATGGAACTATATAGAACCCTGGGTCTTAAAGGTTGTTTTAAAGATATGAAATATAAAGAATAACATACTACAATTATTCACTTGTAGAATGCTTAAGGTGTTTAAATAGCTGAGTTTTATTACTTATACTTTTTACTATTTTTAAATATACTTATTTATGTGGCACAAAATTTATTTCTCTCACTCCATATCGCTCATTGATTGCTAAATTTACTCTAAAACCAGAAAGGCGGCTAACATTCACCAGCAATATAGAAATCACAGGACATCGGGGAAATGCGAACTGCAGTTTCTTCTGTCAAACTGAAAAACGCCATAAATTTCGTGCAACAATAGAAGTGTCAGCGGATGGAGATGGGGTATGTGTTGTTCGGAGAGTGGACTGGGGGTAGGGTAGATATCGCACATGCACAAACGGCACACATATGTCAGGACTATCGATATGTTAGGGGTGTTCAACGGGGGTGGCTGATAAAATTTATCCCGGCCGCGTAAGCCGATCAGAAAGTCATGTAAACAGAAGATGTGGCGGAGAAGTGATTGTTTTTTTAGCAGTTAATTTAGCTGAGCGGCTTTCGGGTTCAATGCAAATATCAGATAAAGCATGGTGTTAAGGTTTCTGCAGATCCTCCGCAACATCATACATTTGTTAAGGAAGAGCCTTTTCTGACAAAATATATAAGTATTATAGGGATAGTTGAAACAGTATTATTCTATTAAAATAAGATTTATTTGAAATTACGTTTTTAAAATATATTTGTTCATATTCAATGATAAAGATATTCTTCAGATTAGAATATTTTTTTAAATGAATGTTAAAAATTTTACAAAATCCATTAGTTAGAATATGAATTGCATCAAATTTTGTGTAATCCTTAATAAGTCTTGTATATTAAAATACATTTCCTTTAGGCTGTAAACGGCGGCACTATTAATAATTCATATTATGAACTCTTAGAGGTTTAAGTTTAAAATCGTATTTAAATAGCTTATTATAAGTACGTAAAGAAAATTCAGAATAAAGGTCCGTTAGATGGCATTAATATAAGAAATAATATAGAATGTGGCTAATTTATTAAAATATTTTTTCTGGCCTCTAAGGAGCGAAACTATTACAGATTCCTGAGAGGGCTAAATTGATACTTCGGTTTAAGAATGTGTTTAAAAAGTTTATAATAAGTTTTAGAATGTGCAGACCAGTTGTCTTTCAGTTTCCATTAAGAAACGAAAGAAAACAAGGAAGAACGCTATAGTCGAGTACCTCGACTATCAGATACCCGTTACTCAAAGGGAAATGGAGATTTGCAAGCAGCAAAGCGAGATTAAAATGCGCCACCTACCGGCGGTAGACAGATTTAAGCGTTATGGGCGTTAGAGTGGGCGTGGAAAATTTATTTTTGGATCAATCGATAGGTATTGACGACACCAATACATTTCAGTTAAAATTTCTTATCTAGCATGCAAATTGTGGGCGTCACAGGTTTTCGCGGTTTGTGGGCGTTTAAGTGGGCGTGGCAAACTTTTTTTTAGGTCAATCGATAGGTATTGTTGAGAACAATACATTTCAGTTAAAATTTTCTATCTAGCATCAAAACTGTAGGAGTTACAGTTTTGGGCGGTTTGTGGGCGTTAGAGTGGGCGTGGCAGTCTACTGAAACAAACTTGCGCTGCGTAAGAAGCTCAGACATCTGTACGCCAAATCTCAATAGCTTAGCTCTCATAGTTTCCGAGATCTCAGCGTTCATCCGGACAGACAGACGGACAGACGGACAGACGGTCAGACGGACAGACGGACAGACGGACAGACGGACATGGCTAGATCGACTCGGCTAGTGATCCTGATCAAGAATATATATACTTTATGGGGTCGGAAACGCTTCCTTCTGCCTGTTACATACTTTCCGACGAATCTAGTATACCCTTTTACTCTACGAGTAACGGGTATAACAAGCAATTATTAATTATTTTAAATATGTATCTAAGCTGGCAAAAGATGCTGGTTAGAATTGTTTGTTTTTTGTTAGATGTGTCAATTTGGCCTAGCGGCTTTCGGGTGTTTGGCAAATACCAGGCATAGGAGTGAGTTTGCTTTGGGATCGGGAGTTGCGCACTTGCTTGCTGGCCACGAGGCAAACAAAAAGCGCAAACACGCGACCCTCGGCCACGCGCAATCGCAGTCCCCGGGATCGGACGTAATGTTATCCTTTGGCCGCCCAGTCCGCGAAATAAATTCGGAGGGAAAGGGCCGCGGATTCCGGGAACAACTGGCAGCCAGTCGTCGTCGTTCTGCGCGCTGGCAAAAATCCAGAGAAATTTTTAGGGAACCATAAACGGGCCGGGAAAAAGCCTCTAGCCCGAGAGCAGAGTTTTCAGCAACAGTTTACAGCTCCTTTTTATGTCTTTATGATTATTGCAATTAGAGGGAGATCGGCTGCGCATCGCCTCCTCTCGTTCTGCGCACCTCATAGGTAGGCATCTCATGGCCGTAATTACCGAGGCAGCGTCTCAAGGTCGCCGGGAGGGGAAGTGCGCGGGCGGATAACTCGCGATGATAATGGGCGCGATGGGTAGGTAATAAGCAGCGCAGCAGGTAGGCCCCGTACGGATAAGGCGACCAGGACCTCGGATAACTTCCCCTCGCCGGGATTGCAAGGACATTTCCCCTGAGGGGTGGTTGCGAACAGCAGGCGGCAAAGCGTCATGCGCAGGGACATTTATGCGCTATAACAACCGAGCGTGTGCCGAGAACCCTCTGATTTTGCTATATATGCAGGATCTGCCGCAGGACCAGCTCATTCGCAAACTCAGCAGCGTTGCGTGCACATCGCAGAGTTAGAGAAGCCACTGTAACACATAGATCCGAGATGGCCACCACCAACAGCCAGAGCCACTACAGCTACGCCGACAACATGAACATGTACAACATGTACCACCCCCACAGCCTGCCACCCACCTACTACGACAACTCGGGCAGCAGCTACTATCAGAACAGCGCCAGCTACCAGGGCTACCAGAGCTACTATCCCCAGGAGAGCTACGCGGAGAGCTCCTACTACTACAACAACCAGGAGCAGGTGGTCCAGCCGCCCACTGCCCAGCCCACCACCCCGCCGCCCAAGTCCGCCAAACGCAAGGCCGAAGAGGATGCCGCCTCCATCATCGCCGCCGTCGAAGAACGCCCCAGCACCCTGAGGGCCCTGCTGACCAACCCCGTCAAGAAGCTTAAGTACACCCCCGACTACTTCTACACCACCGTCGAGCCGGTGAAGAAGGCCCCCACCGTGCCCTCCAAGGTCGCCGCCAGCCCCGCCCCCAGCTACGAGCAGGAGTACGTGGCCGTGCCCACGCCCAGCGCCTCCGAGGATGTCGACTACCTGGACGTCTACTCGCCCCAGTCGCAGTCTCAGAAACTGAAGAATGGCGACTTTGCCACCCCGCCGCCGACCACGCCCACCTCCCTGCCGCCCGTCGAGGGCATCAGCACCCCACCCCAGTCGCCGGGGGAGAAATCCTCGTCAACTGTCAGCCAGGAGATCAATCATCGAATTGTGACAGCCCCGAACGGAGCCGGCGATTTCAATTGGTCGCACATCGAGGAGACTTTGGCATCAGGTAGGCATCGCACAGCAACCCCTAAACATGCACTTTACAAATATTAAAAAGATATGATCCCATATCTTTTTGATACTTTTTAGTAATTCAATATATTTAAACCGTAACTAACCCATCATTTCCTTTTGTTTTGCTTACAGATTGCAAAGACTCGAAACGCACCCGCCAGACATACACCCGCTACCAGACTTTGGAGCTCGAGAAGGAGTTCCACTTCAATCGGTACATCACCCGCCGTCGCCGCATCGATATTGCCAACGCTTTGAGCCTGAGTGAAAGGCAGATTAAGATCTGGTTCCAGAACCGACGCATGAAGTCCAAGAAGGATCGCACGCTGGAGAGCTCCCCGGAGCACTGTGGTGCGGGCTACTCGGCGCTGCTGCCGCCCCTGGAGGCCACCGCCACCGTCACCGCCACCACCTCGGTGCCCATGTACCACCACCAAGCCACCACCGCCTACCCCGCTTACAGCCACAGCCACAGTCAGAGCCACGGCCACGGCTATGGTCTGCTCAATGATTACCCTCAGCAGCAGACCCACCAGCAGTACGAGACCTACCCGCAGCAGTACCAACAGCAGTGCAGCTACCAGCAACATCCGCAGGACCTGTACCATCTGCCCTGAGGTCCTCAGTTGCTCGGTTTCTCGGTTCCCCCGAGCGGAACCGAAATCCGTACCGCCACAGACCCGAACGCACTTCTCTCGACCATTTGTAGGTGACACGCAAATGGCAACAGCCGAGAACGAAGCTGCGACGCGATGAGTCGCACAGTGGAAGGCGCACTCCCTACGGTGCCCAGGACATTTGGGCACGAGGACGAGTGCGCATGTGCAAGGCAGACAGGAAGAGAGGAAGAGGATCCTTGCTGCGAGCGGAACCCAGTGGCTGGCCATGATGGGTTCTCAGCGATCGATTAGCTGCGGCCAAACACAAGCCCAAAACACTCAGCTGGGAGGCTGATAATGGCCAAAGGACTTGGAGACTGACACATGTTTTTGTACAGCTAGTTGTTAAGTTAGCCTTATACTAGATTATTATTTATTTAAATATATAGCAAGTCCAACGAATTTAAACAAACCAAATCGAGTATTTATTGGGGATGTTGGGAATGAACTTTGGGAGTCGGCAGAGATTTGAGTTATGATATACGATATCTCTGTGGGTAAAAAGTGAGGTGATTTTGTTTGTAAAATTAAAAATCTTTATTTATTCTTCTAAATCAATTTGAAGATCTTTAAAGTAATCTTCTCCCGCTAAAATACACTTAAGCCAACTTTTTTTCCAATCCTTGGAACATGCCAAATAGTTCCTTTCCGGTATAGACATCAGCACCTTCTTCGATTTTGTTTATCCCCACAATCGACTATAAGGTTCGTAATATAAAATATCAATTTCTATAAAAATATATTTATTGTCTAAAAAGGGAGAAAAATGGAAATAAAGGGATGGGACTTAAAGAAAACATAGCCTTTTTCATGGCTTCAATAAATTAAAAAGATACCTAAAAGGGATCTTAAGGTAGTCCATACAAATTTTTGCAAAGATGCAAAATACCTAAAATAAAAAAACCTTTTTTGTTACCTTTTGTTTAATGTCCCGATTGATAGTCTTGAGTTTTTTCTGTGTTTTTTAATTAAGGTAATATTTATAAATTAATTAACTTAACATTGTTCGTTTTATATTCCTGATCGGACCCGCGTAAAGTCTGCTACCCACTCATTTGACTAATTTTAAGCTATCTTCTGATTTATTTCTGATAAATTGCATTCTTTGATCGCTGCAACCACCCGACACATTTTTGCAGAACTTATACGAAAAGCAAACGATTTAATGTTGAGCACGAATCGTGCAAATTCGAGCAGCTGCATTTTCTCGCCTTGATCCCCTTCAGCGCCGACCCATTGCTATCTCCCGGATTTTCTATAAAATTCACTCTTTTCGCCAGAGAAAAAGTCACATTTTGGTCGGGCCCGGGGTCTATCTACCACCACATCCCTTGCTCCCTTCCTCCCCTCGGCCGCTGTTAGCCCGTCTATTGAAGTGAGACATTGATTGGTCATTTTTCATTGCACACCCGTGACAGTTATGGGTAACGCAACGCAAAAGAAAAGCCGGATCCCGATTCGGAATCGGAATCGGAATCAAAGGGAGCCATGTGCAGGCGCATTTTCCCCGGCACCATTTATCCGACCCATTAGATAAAAGTGGACAGTGGGTGAGCACGGAGTAGCATCTGTGGATAGCGTTAGGTGCCTTACTGCATTCGGTTAGTTTAGTGGTGAAATGCCTCTATGCACTTGGAGTATAGACATAAGAAATTGATGACAATTGACAGGAGTTATAGATTTTTTAAACATTTTTCTTAAATTATTAAAGTGGATTTTAAAATGATTCGAGAAAAAAGTTTCAGTTCCCATTTCTTCACGCATGAAAAACAGAAATACAAACTATTTATTGTATTTTTCCAAAACCACGAATCAATAGTGCTTCCGCAGTGCCCTTTAAAAACAAACCAAAAATTTGACAAAATATTCAATTTAAGAATAAAATTGTTTTATTTTAAAAAATACACTACAGGTTTTACTTTTCCCATTTTAAGGGGCTTTTTGTAGCCACTGTTTTTTATAAATTAAACTTAAATTTAATTATAATTATTTTAATTTTGAGTTATACGTAATAGAGAAATACATAATACTGCAATGATGTAATAATAAATATATGCTAAAGTATGTTTAAATTTCATATATTTAATATATCTTCTTGACGTCCATAATGGTTTATGTACCTAGTTGAACCGTCAAACAATTTTTATGGTTTCCAAAAAGTCAACTTCTTTTGGTCAACATTAAGCAAGAAAACTTCAAAGGTCCTTTGTAATTTCCTGAAAGTCACCTTTACTCTTTTTAGCCCTTTAGTCAACATTAAGCAAACGAAGATGCAAGGACGGTTTCCCAAGAGTCAACATTTCCTTTTTAAATGTTTCTTTAGAATTTCAAGCAACACCCAAGAAGTGGTAAAAGATTTACGTGTAAATTGCGAAAGAGTTACGTTAACTCTTCCCGAGTCCTTCTGCGAAACGAAGCCTTTTTTATCCTTTTTATTCGCATTTCGCTTTATTAGAGGGCCTCGGAGTCGGTTCTTAACTCATTCGCGAACCATAAAACCCGAGATTCGCGGAAGGAGTCGTCGTTGTGGGCGGAATCCTTTTGCAAACCCGGTCCAGTCAAGGCTGCAAAGTCAATCCTTTAGCATAATCCTTTAAATAGCCAAAATAAAGCCCGCCTTTGTCAAAACAAAGCGCTTCGCTCGCAGAATTCGCATTTGCGAATAGGCGGTGCCATTGTGTCCACTTAGCCGGCAGGTACCGCCTCCTCAAAGACATCGAATTCCGAAGATTCCTCCGCCCGCATCCCTATCCCTTCCGCCAGCCTCAACCATAACGATCGTAAAGTTATCCTTTCGCAAACACGAGCACACGGTTACCTCCTTAAGCTGGCGAAGGAGTTACAAAGTCATAAAAACAAAACACCTTTGTCCGCGCAGCATTGTCGGTTGGCGAATTATCCTTTCTGTCGCCGCTGCCGAATCCTTAATCCGCGTCCTGTTTACAGCCAGTTAGAGGGAGATGGACCGATAAAATAGATAGAGATGGTGAGAAATTCGCAAATGACCCGACCCTGGCGAAAGGGGAAGGAACACGACAGGCCAGAAACAGACCCGGAATGCCGAGGGTATCGCAGGATAAGCCTTTACCTGGAAGGGATTAAATTACATTATCCTTATGTTAAAGATAAACACGGAGTGTCTAATCCAAAACATTGGATCAAGCGTGATATTTTAATTAACTCGGTTCAGGAAAGATTGGTTTTAAGCAGTTTAATGGAAAATTTCCTATATGATGAGGTATGAATAAATATTCTTTTTAAGGGGGTATTCTAGTCTAGAAATTTGAAAAAATCGAAAAAATTTTTTTTTCATAATTCGATAGTTTAGATATTTAAAAATATCTCCCTAAACGGATTATTCAAAATTCAAATTATTTTTAAAATTATGGCTGATTAAGAGAATGTAAGTTATACGTGCTATTCTATCAGTTACACTGCCTGAAATTTAACGTAAAACTATAAACGCGTTTTTCTCCAAACTACTTTTTCTGATACGGTAGCCATAATATTTCAAGTTCTAATCAGCCGATTTATTTAAAATTTGGCATGAATATTCTTTCAATATCTCTCTATCGCATGAACCAACAAAAAATTGGAATTTAAAATTTGTAATATTTTTAAAAAATTCGATAAAATTACAAAATTAGTAAAAAAAACGACCTTTTTTTTGAGTGGCCGCCATTTTATTTTAGTTTGGCTGGTTCATGACATACCGACATTCGTACTGACTAAGAATCTTTTTTTTTTTTATTTTTTAAATGACCACAAGGGTAGAAATCATGGCGACGAGGACACGGCCTTTTTTTTTCCCCCTCTACTTCAAGGACGCATAACTCGATGAAAAAAAAAATAATTTTTTTTTAAATTTTATTATATGTACTCTTCTAAGTTAAATAAACAAATGATAAAAAACCCGACACTAAAAATATCAATTGTTTAGTTTTAATTAATTGTTAAAAAAGGCTCAAAACTAGAGCCTCTAGACTAGAATACCCCCTTAATAAAGGCTTTCCTATCTTTTAAAGGATTTTTTGGGATAAGTTAGACTTACATTTTAATGGATTGTTATAAAATTTATTCAAATTAATGAATAAGAACATTAAGTTTTAATTTGACAGATGAAAATAGTGGTAAGTAGTAAAATAAATCATTATATCTGCACCTCAACATTTATTGGTTTCCAAAATTAATTTGTCATAAAATGTGCTACATTGTAATGAAATGTATGAATTTGAATTTGTGAATTAATAATGTCATCAAGTATGTTTCATAACGCTGGCAGGGGTAGGTTTGTAATAACCACACACTTAAAAATCTCAGTGACATTACGCTCCTGTCATATTATCACAGATCATGAGATGATAATCGAGCTGATATGATGGTACCCAAACGACTTCGGCAAGTCATCGTGGAGGTCAGCACTTCTGTTGCGGCCGCACCCTTTGTTGTGATGGCCATATATTTATGGCGCTCAAAAAGCAATTAATTGTGACCCAAATCAACAATTTCCGAATGGCTGGCAATATCAACACGGCAGCCCGATCTAATGGCCCGGCAAATGCCACCGATCTCCACGGACCAAGACGTAGGAACAGGAATGGATATATGGCATACACGTAGTGGGAATGGTAATGAGATCGAGATCGGCATGGCCTGGTATGCTGCATGAGTTATGGCCACCACGGTAAGATGTCGCTCCAAATGCTTCATTTCTATGCACACTGGGAAAAATCTAGGAACATAAGTTATTTCCGTGTTACCATCTTAGTGGTTTAGGTTTAGGCTCTTGAGATTGAACTCAATAACAATGTACTAATCGTATCTGTACTGTTACAATTCAGATTTTTAAATTTATTTGGGACAGCTCGACATACACATTTCTGTTAAATTAATAACATTAATACCAGTGATCTAATTTTTTCTCAGTGCATGAACTTAGTTAATGTTGCTTGTACTTTCCACGGAATCTCCAAGCCACACTCCGATGAAATCAGCGCCAAAACCGAAACTAAACCAAACCTGATCGTCCGCCAGCGGCTAGATCAGTGCTGAACCCTGCCACAGCAGAGGTTAACATCAATATGGTAATAAGCCATATCACGTCCACTGAGAACCCCCGATCCCAGGCCATCCTCATGTGAGGCTGGGGGATTTATGAGTTCACCGAATGCTTTATGGCGTGTCGCTTTGACTAATTTATCTGCAAAAGGCGACGGCGCTGGCCACGAAATTTTATTGTTAATTTATGATTAAGCTGATTATACCCGAATCGGTTTCGATTCGGGTTTTTGTAAGACATGCCCAACAAAGGGATTTGCCTGTTCAAGTTA